CCATTAGAGGAGGGCCACAGCTGGGTGCACAGTTTGGTTTTACACGTTCTTACAACTTAGAGAGGGAGAGATAAAGAGAAGTCAGTGCAACACCAATAAGCTAACAAACACACTAGTCACTAGAAGCACACACCCTAGCCATCAGAAACACACATGAGCAATCAGAAGCACCCACACGAGCCATCAGAATCACACACATGAGCCACCAGAAACACACACACAAGCCAACAGAAGGACACACCCTGGCTATCTGAAGCAAACACACGAGCCATCAGAAGGACACACACTAGCCATCTGCTCATTCTTTTCTTGGGGATTCAGTCCACTTTATGATAAAGTAGCTCTTAGAAAAGTCATTGAAAGCCAGGTGGTGGTGGTGGTGCATACCTTTAACCCCAGCACTTGTGAGGCAGAGGCAGGCTGATCTCTGTGAATTCAAGGTCAGTCTGGTTTACAAAGCTAGTTCCAGTTTACACAGAGAAATCCTACCTCAAAAAAAAGAAACAAAGAAACAAAGAAACAAAGAAAGAAACAAAGAAGAAAGAAAGAAAAGAAAGCAAGAGAAGTGACTAAAAATGGGCCATGTTCAGAGAAAAATTTAAAGTATAAAATGGCAAGAAATGAAATGATTGTGTTTAATGGTTTAATGCTTATCACCAATTATTTTCTTTTGGTCTTGATTAACAAAAACAGAACTTTTCCCATCCCAGGATTTCGTCATTTCTAGGATGGGATTCTAACCACCAGGCAGTAGTGTGTTAATGACAAATTCTGAATTCTATTCACAATTTACTGAAAAGAATATTTGATGAATAAGCAAATTAGCTTTAAGGGCCATTGGTTCTTCTGGAGAAATATGCTGTGGAAGCCAATCCATGTCCACAAATTCTTGTATGTTATAGAAATGGCAGGCAATGATGGAGAGCAACATGAAATTAAGGGCAAATTGTGTGGTCTGGACAAACAGAGGTTCAAATCAAAGCACAGTCCCTCTGAATGGAGTGCATTGGAAGACACTGGGTGCTGCATGGGGCCAAGCTTTTCCAGTGTCCCCAGGTACCATCTTAGTTAATCACTCTATGGGGGTTACTACAGGCATTTCACCAGTCAGAACACGGAGGCTCCAAGGGCTAAAGTAGCCAAGGGTACGTGATAGAGATAAGTGGAAAGCCAGCCATTATGATCAGGTACAAAGGCTTGATCAAGGTACTTAATCAAGAAATTTCTATTCCTCCTCCACCAAGGAAGCATCAGTATAGAAAATGAGCAAAAGAGCCTTTGTAGACTAATTTTAGTGGTTGAAACTCTACCAAACGTTTGGTTTGATTTGTTAGTTACTGTAGGTCAACTTATACCTCCATGAAACTAAACGCAAAGGCTCCAAATGAGCAACTCCACTGTGCTTTTAGTTTCACGACCTTGAAGAGTAGGAGTGACTTCAAGTCAACCGTTAGTTCACAGGAATAAGGAGTCTCAAAGAATCCCCAGGATTTTCTACATGGCTACATAGTACTCCATGGACTTAGTCTCATGTCAAAATTGTCCATTAGGAACACAACTCATGACACATATAATTTTCTACACATTATGTACTATGTGTCAGTTCATCTAATTGAACTGACTAGTCCCTATTGGGAGCATTAAGATACACACACACACACACACACACACACACACCACAATCTTTAGGTTATTGTGAAGCAAATATCCTTTAACAACACACAAGATAATGCTTTCAAACAAAAGTTGCCTCGAAGAATGAAAATTGTTTTTTTCTGCTCTTACACTAGCTGAATATTCAAGATACAGACTGTATTAAAAGAAGACAACAAGGGGTTGAGTTTTCATTCTGGAAAGGAGTAGTTTGACTTTTATAGAGAAAAGAATAGAACAGGGAACCAGCAAGATGAAGCCCCAGGACAAGGGGACCCATAGGGTGGGGCTCCAGGACATAGACTAGCAGGTTGACAGACCAGGACATGAGGGCCAGCAAAATGGGGCCCCAGAACATGGGGGCCAGCAAGATAGAGTACCAGGTCATGGGGACCAGTATGATCAAGTACAATGGCATAGGAACCAGCAGGATCAAGTACTAAGACATGGGACTGGAAGGATATAGTTTCAGGGCATGGGGACCAGCAGCATAGGGCCCTAGGACATGGGGACTAGAAGGATGGAGTACTAGGGCATAAGGATTTAGCAGGATCATGTACCAGAACATGGGGACCAGCAGCATGGAGCCCTAGGACATGGGGACTAGCAGGATGGTGTACCATGACATGAGGATGAGCAGGATAGATCTCCATGACACGGTGACCAGCAGCATGGACCCAGGACACGGGGACTAGTAGGATGGTGTGCCAGGACACAGGGACTAGTAGGATGGTATATCAGGACATGGTGCATGAGGCAATTTTTCTCTTTCGCTTTTGGAGGTGGCCAAATATGAACACATCCAGCATCATTCCGACACTTTCAGTTATTGCTTTCAGAAGTCAAATTCAATTACTCAATTAATAGTATGTATTTGTAATATTGGTCCTTAATGATTGGAGCAGATATGATTGGCTTTCAATTCAATATGAAACAATCAACGAGAGAGGAGACATTTATCAAAACATCAATTTCTTGCTCTTTGATTCTAGATAGAATTACAGACATAAAAATTTCATGATTAAACAAGATGTTTATAAATAGCTAAATGAACTACATGGGTAAAAGGAAAGTTTCTGCCTTGATCAAAGCCACTTTGTTGTAGAAACTTTATAGTGACTATTTACTGGTAGTCAACTCTGAGATAAGGCTGTTTAAAGTAACTTCAGTTGTAATTTCTTACTTTTAAGTAGCTTCATGATTGCTTTTGCTTGTGAAAACAATATTCTGTGCTAAGTACTTTATATCTCATGAATCCCTTTTTAAAATATTTATTTGGCCCAGCAGTTGTGGTACACACCTTTAATCTTAGCACTTGGGAGACAGAGGCAGGCAGATCTCTGAGTTTGAGACCAGCCTCGTCTACAGAGTTCCAGGACAGCCAGAAATACACACAGAGAAAACCTGTCTTGAAACACAAACACAAAGACAAATTGTTTCAAAATTATGTGTATATTTCTTTGCCTATATTTGTGTATATATGTATGTGTGTGTATGTATGCATGTATGTGTAGGAACTGTGTGCCTGGTTTCCACAGAGTCAAGAGGGCACCAGTACCCTGGGTACTGGAATTATAGATAGTTGTAAGCTGCCATGTGGATGCTGGGAGAAAAAGCTAGATAATCTAAAAGAACAACTAGTGCTCTTGACCTCTGAGCCAACTCCCCAGTCCTAAACATAAAATGTGTATCTTTGGCCTGGCGGTGGTGGCACACGCCTTTAATCCCAGCACTCGGGAGGCAGAGGCAGGCGGATCTTTGTGAGTTCGAGACCAGACTGGTCTACAGAGCTAGTTCCAGGACAGGTCCCAAAAACCACAGAGAAACCCTGTCTCGAAAAACCAAAAAAAAAAAAAGTGTATCTTTATGCATGTGATTTAATCATTAAATATCTCCACATCATTGTTTATATTTTTAAAAAGTTCTTGTAGTACATTGTGCATGCATGTGTGTGCTTGCACGCTCATGCATACAAGAGTGTGCACATACCAGGGAAGTCAGGTGATAACTTATTGGAGTTGTTTTTTCCTTGTACTATGTGTGTCCTAGAGATCAAATTCAGGTTTGATACCAAGCACCCTTACCTACTATGGCAACCCACTGGCCCCAATGCTAGTTTTTTTTTTCACTCTTGATTTTTAGAATCTCATTAGACAAAATATTTAAGTGAAAAAAATTAATTATAAGAAACATTTTTTTAAAAAATGTAGGCTTACAGTATAATCTAAACATAATTTCTTATTACACATTACTAAAAGTAACAACATGGAAAGGCATAGGCACTGCATTTTTACTATCCCCAAGACTCTACTCTGAGAATGTTTTGCTTATTTCCTAAAAGTGAACTGAAGAACAGTCAATCTGTATAATTTGAGAATTTATATTTGAGATTTTCTGTGTTTTAGAGCTGTGGGACCAAGTTAGATCTTTGTACTGCCTTGCTTGTCCTTCTGTACATGGATAATGTGCACACTCACACATGAACACACACACCTTTACACATAAACACATACATGTTAGTGAACACTAGTGTGCAAAATAACCAAGTATGGACACACATTCATATCCATATGTCAGATAACATGTGACCCCCTTGTATCCTAATTATATGTTATGATAAATCTGTTTTCAGTAATAAAACCATCAGAACATTTTCAGGAAATGAATATTACAATGGCAGAGTTAGAAATTGCTTTAAAAGTACTCAAATTAAATATTTTAACTTTTCTTTAAACGTTCAAGATAATGCTATGTGAAATAAAGCAAAATGTCATTTATCAATCATCTTTGTATCTTACCTTTTACCTTTATTATTTCTAAAAATCATGTTCTCAGGATTTTATATTTTATGTGTAACTTCAATGGACTTATCCACTGTCTGACACATTTCTTTGCTTTAAAAATAATGGAACAAAAATTTGGGTGAAAGCACGAGTCAAGCATTGCCCAGAAACTAAATGTTCCAATTATCCTCTGTCCTGCTTCTCTCTGATGTGTTGTTGAATAAGGACCCAGTTAGCAACATCACACTAACACAATTCCCAAGCAATCTTTTTGGACAAGCATGCCTTAGTCACAAGAGGTGAATCCAATCACAACATCCCAATTTCACATATGGAATGTTGGACGTGCCTGTCCCTTTTTAGAGTCATTAGCCAGGGAAGAATCTATTTTGACAACTAGAATACCATTTTGGAAAAATTAGAATGCAACCTTGAGTTTTTTTCTTCCCCCAGAATGAAGCAGAGCAAGATGTGTGTAATTCAGGTTGCTATGCTGTAAAGCGTGGCTGAAGACCATGATTCCCATGCAATTACAAGATGAAAGTGAGATAAATTGGCACTCACAGTTGTGGCAGGTGGCCCCGCTGTATCCTGTCTCATCACAAGTGCATTTGAAGCTGTCCCATGTTTGCGAGCACTTCCCACCATGCTCACAGTGATTGGGCACACATCTGTCAGAAAAAGAGACACAGAAATAAACCAACAAGCAAATGAGATTTATGAGTGGCCAAATTCCAAGCTGTTTGGGCAATATATCATTTCAATGCCAGGTTGCCTTGCTGAGGCAATTAATCCTTGTTAGTTTAAGCAGATTAATATGATTCATGATGGAAGGTGCCAGGCACACAAAAGATGATGTATCACAGACCTGGTGTGTCCCCTTTTTGAATAAACCATAGACACTATCACACAGTTCATGTGTTCATTTGCATATCACAGATTCATTTTAGTTTAATTCTACAAAGGACAAAGATACCACCTAAGTTTCCTATTGGTGAGAAATGAAGAAGAGCCATCTGACTTTTTGTTCTACTTTTTTTTTAAAAATCGAAGTCAATAGCACTAAAAATGGGTTTGCTACAATAACTTGTGGTTCTGAAACAATGGCACAGAGACAACAATGGAATATATCAGCCTGATAGGAGCCTCAAAAGTCTCCCTCTATACCCATCTGGATAGTTAAAGATGCCTACTTAAAGTGTCTGCAAGCATAAGTTAGAAGGAAAAAGTGTCATTGTACACAAAGCTCTACAAGGCAAAAGTAATTATGACTCATTAATTTTTCTGAATCTTGATTTTCACATTTGAAAAATGGGCAATTATACTATATTGTGAATACTTTAAAAATACCCAATTATTAATTTATATTTTATTTTTATATTTATCTTGATTTTTATGTATGTGTTTATATGAGTGCAGGTACCTGCAGAGCCCAGAAGAAGGTGTAGGGTCCACTGGAGCTCCAGTTCCATATGATTGTGGGCTGCCTGGGACCCAAACTTGGCTCTTCTACAAGAGCAGTAAATACTCTTAACCATCAAATCATTTATCAAGGTCCTCAAGTTTTACTTTAAAGCTAATACTCAAAAGTGGGAACATTGTACATATTAGTGGCCTCCTGTACTGTTTCAATGTGCTGTTCTCTTTGTGTTATGATTAAGGATAAATATATCAATATCTTAAATGTTTATCACAGTGAAAAATATTTAAAATCTCTTTACCTTTGAAGTGTATAGAACATGGTTGTTATATCTAGTCACAACACACAAGGACTTCTTACTCCTACCAAACTGAAGCTTGATCCACTGATAACCTTTTCCCAGCCCTCTCTGACCCTCAGGCTCTGGTCACCATTATTTTTTAATCTTTAATGAAGTCAATGATTACAATGAGATTATATGACAACTACATTTCTGTATGACTTGCTTTAACTCAATAATCTCTAGTTCAATCTATCTCATCTCCCAGTGACAATTTTTTTCCTTTTATAACTGAATAGAATTCCTTTGTGTACATGTACCATGTTAATTTTAGAGATAATGTCCATGAAGTTAGTAATTATTAAATAGGAACTAGAGTCCTAACAAGTGAGAACTATACCCATCTGGACCACCACTTCCCTGAAACAATTTTTTTTACCTTGATTCTACCGTGAAATTATGGTTGGAATGTGGTTTGAGACACACCTGCATCAATGACACACTTTCCTTCCAGTTCGTACCATCTCTTTGCCCATCCGACACATTCCCTACATCTTTCTTTTTTATAGTGAGCATTAAGATGCTCACAGTCTGAAAGGGAGATATTGTTATGAATTGACATTAAAGTAAGAATTTTGATATTTGAATCAGAAACACATCAAAATAGAAATTCCCTCCCAATTTAAAGCAGCAGCATCTACTGTGGTGTTTCTGCATATTGGATTACTGAGAGACTGTAAGTATTAGCTAAAAGACCTGATTTATTTTGTCTCAGAGACCAAACCTTGTAACCTTTGCTCTTGATTGAGCATCAAAAGTACTTGTAGTAGTAGGGCATACAGCTCAATAGGACATTGTGGGTATGCTTAACAAAGTAAATACACTGTAAGTGAGAACTCTAATGAGGGTGGGAATGGGAAACAACACAGAATGGGTAAGAAATGTAGTATAGAACCTCATAGGAAGCATTCACTGGACACTGCAGGCACAGTTTAGAGCTCTGCACAGTTTAGAGTTGAGCATTTAGACTATTAAAGAAGAAAATAAAAGCCATTATTATTGGGTTAAAATAGAATATACGTAAAGGTACAACCTTGGGTGGATAGAAAATTCACATTACTCTCAATAGCAACTTTCTTTTCCTGTGATGGCTCTGGTTTTATGTAGGTCACAGAAATGATCCTCGTCCAATAATCTCTGAATCTAGTTGGAGGTTTGGGTCAGAGCAAGAGTCATCCAAAATATGAGGAGTACTTGGATGAGTCATGGAACAGATATAAATGCTGCAGAAATTTGGATACCAGGATAGTTAAAAGTGGAGGATAGTTAGAAGGTTTAACTTAGTTGGGGATATTTTATTTGCATCTTAAAAGACATTTTAAAAGTATTTTTTTAAGTGGCTCTGGCAGAACAGAACAGAAAAGTGATGGGAATGAAGTATAACAGCAAGTGACAGTTTGTCCTGGTTTGTTCCTCTTGGCTATTTGCACAGTCCCTGTACACTGCAGACCCCCAGCATGGCCCCTCCCTGCACAGCAGGCGCTTACAAGAAACTGTCCTCCTTTCCCACATCATGGGAGAAAATTAATGAATGGAAACTCCTGACATCACAGGAAAGCATATTTGATACTTAATCTTGAAATTCAGTAAAGACATACCCTTTTGGTGGTATATTTAACTTTCCAAATTCTCTTGGGTTAATATTAGCTCAGTCTGGATGTTAAAGTCATTTACATCAGCTCATCACACCAATTAATTCAGGGGAAGGCAGTACAGAAGTGGGCAAGGGAAACCAAGTTGGAAACTAAGTATGCTTTAAATAATGTTCCTTAGAGAATGATAAAAACGTAAGTGTGAATTTAACCCCTGAGACACATAGAACCATCACAGGAGCAAAGAACTAACTGCTCCTACCAGTTTGCAGAATGAATTTTTTAATTAATTGTTTTTTACTAAATAGAATTTTCATATTTTATTTTAAATATTTGCTTCTCATTGTTTCTATTTTTAAACTGGTATTCTCCTTGTGTAGATTCTAGTTCTTAATGGTAGGGCATTAAATAAATTTCCAAAACAAGTTGATTCATACGTTATATCACACCTAATATCTTATCACTGCATTTCAAACTACTAGGACCAGTTACCAAGAGAAAAGAAATAAATTAACCTAATATTCTAATTAGCATTTCTTATCTTGTATTCCTGTAGAACTACTTCCATGTGTCCAATGCACTGTTATGATGTCCTCTAGTAATTAGTTATTGGTGTATCCATCTCTTCTACCTGGATGCTCCCATAGCAAAGTGTGTTTACTTACCATTCTTTGCATAATGAAGTGTCTATTCCATGCTCAGCATGACTGGAGAGAGACTCAGATGCATGAAATGCCACCTAAGTTTTACCACTATGGACATAAAAATCACTTCAGAGGCAATGAATCATCTCCTTGACTCAGAGGAAAACATATTAATTTTACCTAGGTTTTTAGTCTTAAACATACATTTGCTCTAATAGACCATTTTTTAGGGGGTGACGGGAAATGTATAATTTTCTTCGTGGTGTGTGCTAGCTTGAAAGTTTGATTCACATCAAAAATAAATCAAAATGATTTGACTGCTTCAACCTGAGAAGGATTTGGCCTAGGACTGGGGACATGCAGGGCTGAAGTTGGCAGGTGTTGATTTGTTCTGATCAGAAAGCTCTGGAAGAAGTGCATGCAATTACCCATTCCTGACAGCCTGCTGTCCCCGACTCTTTTAGCTAGATTTATCCTTCCAGTTAAAGTTTTACACAGTGCTTTAAAATCCAAATGTATTCTTTAAGCTATTTTTTTTTAAATCGGTTTCTTGAGGATTTCATATATGTCCATGATGTATTTTGGTCATATTTTACTACCTCCAGCTCTTCCCTGGTCCTTCCCACATCTTCTTTTCAACTTCATTTCCCCTTTCTTCTTAATGACCCATTGAAGCCAGTAAGTGCTAGCCATCATTCCATGAGTGTGGAGCCGTTCTTTAGAGCAGAGTCAAGGACCAAGGATCACAGCTTGAAAGAAAAGTGGTTTTTCCTCCATTCGCAGCCCTCAGCTAGGAGTGTAGGATCAGATGTCTTTCTCCAATCTACGCTGGGATGTTAACTGGCTTGGTCTTGTACATGGACTATACAGGTAAAGCAGCTGCTTGGAGTTCATGAGTGCAGTGCTCTTGTCGATCTACAAGATACCCTTCTGTTCCAGGTTCCTGGACCTCTGGCTTATAAAACCTTTCTGATTCCTTTCTCCCTTAGTAGTCTCTGCATTCTATGGGTAGACGGTATGATACAGGTATCCCATTTTGGTGCGGGAGAATTGTCTGTATTCTGTCAATCATGTTTTAAATAAAAGCTGATTGGCCCATTAACTCTAGCCTCTCACTGGCTAACTCTCACATCTTGATTAACCCATTTTTCTGATCTATGTTAGCCATGTGGCTCAGTACCTTTTTTCAGTGGGGCAGATCACATCCTGCTGCTTCGGTGATCTGAGCAGGAGTGGGAGGAATCAGCTTCCTCCTTCCCAGAATTATGGCTGAGAACCTTCCCTGACACTTCTTTGCACACTGACCAGTTGTGAGTCTCTGTACTAACTGTCTCCACAGGGGAAAAAAAAGAAGTTTAAGCTTTTCTGATGAGGACTGAGAGCTGCACTAATCCCTGGGCTTAGAGAAACCGATTTAGAAGGTACTTTGCTAAACATATTTTTTAAAGTGAAGCTTGTTTGTGTCCCCAATACATAAGGCAAATAAAGGCTGTGGCTTTAAAGTTTCAGTCAGTGTACAATTCCTTAATATAAAATGAATCAGTACAGACAGCTTGTTTGGAAGGATGCAACAATTCAATTCAGGGTTATTAGGACAGTTGCATTTTTATTGCACCCAAAACATCTCTTTTATTTTTGTACTTGATTTCAATTGCAAAACATTGAGGAAATTGGG